GGACTGACCATTTGGAAACTCGGGCACTGCCCGAGGGCCCGGGGTCAATAGGGGGCCCCATGAGATGCCCCTGGTACCTTTTTCATAGACTTTTTTGAGATTGGACAAGGACACAGGGGCCCCATGATCCCCTATTGCCTGGGGGCCCCATGAGTTGTCAGTCCGCCCCTGGTTCCATACCATGTCTCAGTGAGGAGGTGGCTATCTTGGCAGGGCTTTACTTTCTCATATCAAGATACTGACTTAATTACTGGTGGCTGATGGAGGAATATCCAAGTTTTAGCAGAAGAGGTTCAGAAATCAAATATACACAGAATGGATGAAGCAGGAGCAGGGAAATATTTGCTGTAAAGCCTGCCATAGAAGGTTCGAATCTTGGCTGGTTCAGCAAAAAGCAGGTGAGATTCGAACCATGCATGGGCAGGCTGAATGTTCCCAATTTGATCGATAAATTGATTTGGGTACAACCAGCCTGCCAAATTTTACATGCAATTGTTGCTAGTGGTTTTTATAGCCACTAGCAATAATCACTGTGTTCTCCTGGTGGGGACGACTTTCACCCCCCCCCCCTTCCCGCCAGGAGAACACAATAGCTCTGCAGGAGGGATTCCCCTGTCAACACTTTCTGTGTTGATGGGGGTATTAAGTGAATTTCTTTCCTGCAACCACAAGAAATTCACTCTGTCTGTACCTTCTTGGTACAGATTTCTCTCCAGCAAGGATAACAGTGGGTAGCACAAAGTCACACAATAGGAGATTGACTGCTATTTTTTAGAAGTATATCAAGACAAAAGGGTACATCTTTCAGAGTATTGCTTAAGAACATTTAACATTTGTAGAATTTCTATTTAAAAAAAGCACATATTCACTTAATTCAGGTCCACTGTAAATACTATTTTGCAGGGACAATGTTTTAAGAAACACTAATATACATCAATAAGCATAAGTATACCTGCATACATGTGAAAAATCTGATTCCAGGTTTGTTCATCAAAACTTAATTGAACAAGCTGAAGTTAGCAGCTGATTGGCTACCATGCACAGCTACACTAGATTTTGCACTCTCCAATTTTAGTAAATCATAACTTCTCTAAAATGTTGCCTATACATAGAGATAGGCTTGTACCATGTAATAATTGCTACCCATGTATTGTGGATAGAGATGAGCAAATCTGATTTGTGATCATACAGACTTAGCTACTTTGTGAAATTGAGATTTGTGAATTTTGCAATTCACTGCAGCTCAGACAAAACACAAATCAAAAACATTTTTCCCGAAAAATAATGTTGTTAGTAGTCAGAATTGCTCAATACTTGAAATGCCCATCTCCAGTGATGAACAATTAGGTTGCCAGCATCTGAGTGCTAGCATCTTAGGTCTGTGGGTATCGTTAGAATTACTCTTGATGGTTTGCTGTGCCATGTAAGGTCGTGTGACTGCACCATCCACAATTCAAGAGCAAATATTGGATTCCTGCAGCTTAAAACTAGCCTGCCATTGTCCTGTCTCTCCTTCATGCTGAAGAATACGATGAGGAGATTAAAGTCCATAGTTCCAAGCAGGAAGATTCTTTAAGATATCTTGTTTACTGAACGTATGACAGTGGACAATGGGCCCCAGAGATCAGAATTATTATCACTGCCAGGGCAGGGTGGTCTTCACAGCAGAAAAAAACCATTACATTTAAAATTCAAAGGCGTTTGAGTGCCTTGGAAAGTGTCTGCCCTGTGCAAATAGTGCCTCTTGGATTTTGGAGTGTATGTGTGTGAATTGGCAGAGAGAGTTTCTGCACCTGAGTAAATAGGGGAGCTGGGAAGAAAAAATGAAGCATCCTTTTTTTTTCCAAGAGTGCCTCCATTTTCTACCAGGAATCAGAATGACAATTGGATTTTAATTAGGGAACCCAAACAAGAGGCTACTCAATCTTCACACCTCAGGCAATCCACTAGTGTGTTTGTAGAGTGGCTGTACAGACTGGAATCTATTCAACAGCCCCCAAAATATGCAAACAAAGCTGTTCTGTCTCTGGGGACCAGCTCCATGGGACAGACCAGTAGCACAGACACTAGAAAAAAAAAATGCATAGCTAGTTTGTTGTCGGTTCCTGCTGCAGCATTTCTCCCATCTTTTTGCAGTTTGTTTAATTTGTTCACTGAAAGTGATAAAGACGTTAGCAGATCAATAAAAACTAATTTTCACCCTGTTAGTTCTTCCCGAGAGAACCATTAGCGTTACAGTAACGAAGCAAAAGCTTGAAGTGTTGGTTTAAGAAATCATTGTAACACTTAAGCATAAAGAGGAAAAGAAAAGGAGTCCGGCAGGGAACCCTTCCTCTTCACAAGTCATCAGTGATCAGCACTAAATAATGTGAGGTCAAGAAGGACCTACCATGCATGGGGACAAAAGTCATAGTGGTGTTGCCTCAGCATCCAACTAGGTTACTTCTTTTGTTTTTTTTTAAATATTTATTGGCAAATGACAGCTGGAATTAAATTGATTGCTATGGACAGCAACTTAATCTTTTTCCTCTTGTTCACCTTCTTCTTTTTTACCATGTATAATTGAATCCATAATGCTAATAACACTTATATGTAAACACAAATAATTTGGATTATGTTGAACTATCTAGCATGACCCAAAATAAAGCAGTTAAAGCAGAACTCCATGTTCTTTTCCCATGCAGTTGGGTTGTGCCTGCACTGCATGGGAAAACTGCTAGTTTTGTTTGGAGGTATGGTGGAAAAGGTATACTTACCCTGTCCTCTGATCCTCCAGTGGTGGACTGTTCTTACCGTCCTCACACTCGGAGCTGGTCTGTGGTCATTATGACGTCAGGAACAGTCCATTCACAAGACCGCCAGCGTGCAGGTTGGGAAGAAATGACAGGGACCAGTCTTGCTCTATGAGGATCGGCCGGATTCAGTAAAACTTTACTCTTATGACCCCTAGACAAAAACAAGCATATGACCTATGCAGTGCAGGCACAGCCCCACTGCAAGGACTAAAAAACATTTGCCTTGATTTCCGCTTTAAAGTTGTAACACAATAAAAATACCCACTGCATGTGTTAAACAATTGCTTCTTTTTTATGTAATCTTTTTATTGAGTTTTACAAATACAGAAAACAGGAAAGAGAAACATGCAGACATCCAAGGGCACGTGTGATGGTTAATACAGCAGTTATAATGACACAACAATCTTAGTACCCAAAATTCACAATGTGCATCAAAACCATGCCCAAAAATGGCACATATCAGCAGAGATTACAAGGAATAGAGTTAAAAGGCAGTTAACCCAATAAGAAATATAATAAAAAGGGGAATAACAACAGCATAGATATCTCAGTGAAATCAGGAGCCTATTGGTTCCAGTAGTTCCACACAGCATAGGTAAGCAGCCTGAAGGAGGTCCATGAAATGATTATCAGGCCATGCATCACCAATGCGGCCCGGTCGGCAATAGAGTTACGCGGTACCTGCTCAGGCCAACAAATCTTCCAGGTGTGTCAGCCAGGCCACTGGAGAAAGACAACCAGCCTATAGCTTGGTGAAAATGTTCACTTAGTAAGTCTAATGAAAAAAACTGACATCCAAAGAACAAAGGTATACCACTCAGGCAAACAATCCAGATCAATCCACAACAGGTGCAGGCTCTGGCTTGTCACCACACACGATGCAACGGGAAGAAGGGTCAGCTGCACACCGGAGGATAAATTAATATAGTGTATATTTATTGATCCATAGGACACACAAAACACCAGGACATGAATACAGGACCTGTTAACGCGTTTCACACAATCTCATGCTTAATCATAACCAACCTTCTTTTTGTTAAAAAAACTGACATCAACAGGATTTGACAAAAAAAAAGGAAAAAGGATGCAAAACCAACTAAAGGTCTAGAAGACACATACCACAAGACATTGCTTCTTATCAAAGATGGTAGACAGGTATAAAGGACTTGAGATTTATGTTATTTTATTTTAATTCTTACTTGAATTTGTTCACAGAAATAATAGTCCTGGGCATTTTAGAATCCTGAGCAAGACATACCCAACTCACCACCCATTATAGACCATCAGTTCTCATTATGTGACTGATTTACTAACATTCATTTCTGTACTCTGCCCCATGATTCCAAGTTGCCTCAAACATTCCTACAGGATACTCTACTATTTGCCCCCTGTGTTTGCTTAGCTGTTTGTAGGGAAAAATGTAAAGCCAAAGAGTTGATTTAATAAAGGCAAATAGGTTGTTCACTTTGCAAGCGAACAGCCTATTTGCCTTTAGTAAATCAACCTCAACATTTTCCTAAAATCTAGCTCCTGGGTAAATCACACCCATGTCTCAGTCAAAGAGTGAATGTTGGAACTTGTTGACTTATAATTGCCATATAGGCAGGTTTAACATGGAGCTGCTATGCAGAAATAATGCTACCCAGAAACTGCACTGAAAAATGAAGGATGAACAATGTGATTCTGGTAAAGGTGAGTTTATTGTACACTAGCTTTTGCCCGAATTTTCTAAAAATTAGCCACTAATTGACTAATGCATTTTAATGAATGTCTGAAATAAAAATCCTCAGTTTTGCTCATCACTATTTTCTTCTTCACAAGCATTCACTAAGATGTATTGGAGTCAGAGGCTAATGATGCATTTTCAGTAAAGGCAAGAGTGAACTCAGTTTTTCTGAAACCACCTGTTTATCTTTGCTTTAGAAGAGTAACAATACTTAGCCAAAGCCATTATTAACTGAGCCTTGACAAGCTTGGCTTTGTAGTTCTCAAGCAGATTTCTCATTGGACAAATCAGTACACGTTAATATAAAGCATGTACATCCAAAGACAGTATTAGCAAATCATGGAGTGGTGGAACTTATCACAACAAAAGCACCCAGTGTCTTTAAATGTGTTTTGCTATTGTTAGTATATGTGATAATAGATAATGTGACATTTATTACAATATTTAGCATTATTATTAATTTTTTTTTTTTTTTTTAGAAAACTCGGTGGCTGCAAAATCTGGTGGTTGCTTTCCTGCCAATGCTAGTGTGTCTTTGGAAGGTGGTGGTACCAAGGCATTGAAGGACCTAAGGCTAGGGGATCGGGTGCTAGCAGCAAATGAGGAGGGCAAGTTGGTCTATAGTGACTTCCTCACCTTCTTGGACAAGCAGGAGAGTGTGAAGAAGGTCTTCTATGTGATTGAGACCACTGAACCCAAGCAGAGCATCCGACTGACAGCTGCCCATCTTATCTTCGTGTCACAAAGCTCAGCTAATGGCACTAGGTCTTTCAAGTCTATTTTTGCCAGCAACATAAGACCAGGAGATCAGGTGTTCCTAGCTGATCATACGATGATGGATCTGAAGGTAGTGAGAGTGGAAAAGGTCTATTTAGAAGAAGACATTGGAGCTTATGCTCCTGTGACCTCTCATGGAACAGTGGTCATCAATGGGGTCCTGGCCTCTTGTTATGCAGTCATTGAAGAACATAGCTGGGCACACATGGCTTTTGCCCCGCTCAGATTTGCCTTTAAACTTTTCTCCTACTTTTCCTCCAAAGACTACTACAACCCATCTTCCACGTACCTTCATGTTGAAGGCATCCACTGGTACTCACAACTCCTTTACCAATTAGGAACTTGGATCTTGGATAATGACTCTCTTCATCCACTGGGAATGTCAGTGAGGTCCAGTTGAAACATCCCTCAGTCATTACATTAAGACATTCATTTTTAATGTAGGACAGTCCAAAGTAGACACTAAGGAACCCCACCCCACATTTCTTTGTCATTATTTTTGTATTATTATTTTATTCTTGCATCACATTGTACTTTACTTTCTTTTTGTTCTCTTCTGCTGAATATTTATTTGTGTGTTGTTCGATTAGATGTTAAATATGAACGGGACATACAAGAAGCCTTAACTAGTTTCTTTGATAATTTATTGTCTTGCGAACTTTCCATGAACTCGTGAAAGTTCTCTGTGTTGATTCTAAGTTAACAAAGCAGATTCTATTTTTCTACGTGTTGAGTTGTCTTAACTCTAAGGGATGATTTACTCAAGGGTGCAACTTTTGCATCAACTTAAGAAACTCATGTTCCTTTCAAAGAGTTGCCAGGTAAAACGAAAGATACAAATAGCAATCTGGTCTTTGAAAGCACAGGTGCTGGTCAGAACTCTGGAATAAAAAGATACTACCTTTAGTAAATCTACCCCTTAGTACTGTTTTGTTACTTTTGTCTTTCCCTCACTATCTCCACAGACCTCCATTGTAGGTGTCTATAAGGGGTTTTACTTGGCCTGGCTGTCACTGAAAGTGTTAAATAATTGTGAGAAATTACTTGTCTCAGTGGGGGTCAGTAAATTATATTTTTATACACAGAATTGTAAATTAGAATTTTGTTTTTCAGAGATCAATACTTACTGAACTGCATTTCTTTTCTTTTATTTTTTGGAAATAGTGTACAATATGAGAATATATTATTTTAATTTAAATAGTTTCATGTAACGTTATCGCATATTCTATGTCTGTTTTTTTTATGTTTTAATATTTTTTTTCATTTGTATAAACTTGCATCTGGTCACATTCACTTAACTCACAGACTGTTACACAAAATTCCTGTTTTTTTTATCAGTTTGTTTTCTCTTTGACACAGTAGGAATCTTGTAATTTTAACTGCAAAGAATTTATTAGAAAGTCATATTTTTTAAACAAAATACAAAGCGCACATAGATGAGGACCTCCAGTGGATGAAGACTGTTGATTTGCATTAATAAATTGAATAACTGCTGTAAATTTACTAAAATGTATTTTTTGGAATACTTTGTAATAGCTTTAATAGTTTTATAGAAATAAAGTGTGCTATGCACAGCTTGCTTGTATTTAATGTTGAAAAATCAATGAAAATTCAGATTATATCAGAAAGAACATTATGCATTAATTTAATAGAATGGTTCATGTACTTTTGTAAAGGCTTTTTAATTAATACAAATTTTTATTTGTAATAAAATTTAAAGACTTAAACTTGAATTATCTTAAAATATACTAAGGAGCAAAAACTTTTTTTTAACTTTACAACTAGAGCTTAAAGCGGTAGTAAACTTAGGCACAGTACTAATGAAACAGAATATGTCCACTACGCGAGACCCTTTTATATCATTCCACCATGTAAATAAACCCCCTCAATTCCTTCTTACTGTTTTGCTGCTTATTTTACTGTACATGCTTCCCTACTTCAGCCAGCTCCAATGCTACTGTTCTTTTCCGCATCTTTTAAGTATAACACTTCCTCCCCTTCTTGCTGTAAAGGCTGGAATCTTGCGCATGTGCATTGAGAATTTCAGAAAGCTGTGCACGTCCAGTGCAATGGTGCAGAGTTAATGATGGACGCACGGCATCGACCGCAACAGATTGACGACACACAGAATATGCCTTAATGTGTTTATACGCCGATGATGTCATGAAATTGGTCCTGCCTTGATTGCAACAGAAAAAAAATTTAAATAGCACCATATACATTAATTGTTAAGGCTTAAGCAAAGTTTTCATGTCAAGTTTACTACCACGTGAAAGTGACTCTGTTGTTTTACTAAACTTGCTAGGACATTGTTACCTATCAAAGAATAAACTGAATACTCACCTCTCCTGTTGCCCATGCCACTGAATGCCAATAAGTGTTTTCTAAAATCAAAACTTTAAGGAGAGTTGATTCACCGTGTCACCTGCAGTGCTTAGTGGTTCCTCTCAACAGGAGGAACCAATGAGCACTGCAGAGGACACAACATATTGGGGTTGAGTTACTAAAATTGGAGAGTGCAAAATCTGGTGCTTCTCTGCATAGAAACCAATCAGCTTCCATGTTTTATTATCAAGACTTAACTGAACAAATTGTAGTTAGAAGTCAATTGGCTACCATGCACAGCTGAACCAGATTTTGCACTCTCTTGGTAAATCAACCCCATTGGCTCTCGTGGAAAGTGCTGGTTTCCCAAGACACTTTAGAGTAGAGTTTCTTTACAATGGAGTTGCGTTCAGTGGTGGTAAGTATTCACTTCATTATTTTAGAGGGTGAAATTTTCAGCAACTTTAGTAAAGCAACATACAGTTGCAAGAAAAAGTATGTGAACCCCTTGGAATTACGTGGAGTTTTGCATGAATTGGGCATAAAATGTGCTCTGAACGTCAGCTAAGTCACAACAACAGAAGAAAACACAGTCTGCTGAACATAATACTACACAAACATTAGATGTTGCCATGGTTTAATTGCACATAACATGTAAACATTCACAGTGCAGGGAGGAAAAAGTATGTAAGGCCCTAGCTTAATGACCTCTCCCAGAGCTAATTGGAGCCAGGAGTGAGCCAATCTTGACTCCAATCAGTTTGATGATATTGGATGTGTTGCTGACAGCTGTCCTGCCCTTACAAAACACACACCTGTTTTGGGTTTACTGGTTTCAAGCAGCACTGTCTGATGTGAACCATGCCTCGCAGAAAAGAGCTCTCAGAAGACCTACGATCAAGAATTGTTGACTTGCATGAAGCTGGAAAGGGTTACAAAAGTATCTCCAAAAGCCTTGATGTTTATGTGTCCACAGTAAGACAGACTGTCTACAAATGGAGAAAGTTTAGCACTGTTGCTACTCTCCCTAGGCGTGGTGGTCCTGTAAAAATGACTGCTAGCGCACAGCGCAGAATGCTGCATGAGGTAAAGAAAAATCCCAGAGTGTCAGCTAAAGACCTACAGAAATCTCTGGCACATGCTAACATTTTTGTTGACACATCTACAATAAGGAAAACATTAAACAAGAATGGAGTACATGGGAGGACACCACGGAGGAAGCCATTGCTGTCCAAAAAGAATATTGCAGCACGTTTGAAGTTTGCAAAAGAGCACCTGGATGTTCAACAGCACTACTGGCAAAATATACTGTGGACAGATGAAACCAAGATTGAGTTGTTTGATAAGAACACACAACACTATGTGTGGAGAAAAAAAGGCACAGCACACCAACATCAAAACCTCATCCCCACTGTAAAACATGCCGGAGGGAGCATCATGGTTTGGGGCTGCTTTGCTGCCTCAGGGCCTGGACGGATTGTTGTCATTGATGGGAAAATGAATTCCAGAGTTTATCAAGAAATTTTGCAGGAAAACGTACGACCATCTGTCCGCCAACTGAAGCTCCGCAGAGGATGGGTGATGCAACAGGACAATGACCCAAAGCATACAAGTAATTCAACAAAACAATGGCTGCAACAGCACAGAATACGCCTTCTGGAGTGGCCCAGTCAGAGTCCTGACCTCAACCCGATTGAAATGCTGTGGCATGACCTTAAGAGAGCGATTCACACCAGACATCCCAAGAATATTGCTACACTGAAACAGTTTTGTGAAGAGGAGTGGTCCAAAATTACTCCAGATCGTTGTGCAGATCTGATCTGCAACTACAGGAAACGTTTGGTTGAGGTTATTGCTGCCAAAGGAGGGTCAACCAGTTATTAAGTCCAAAGGTTCACATACTTTTTCCTCCCTGCACTGTGAATGTTTACATGTTATGTGCAATTAAATCATGGCAACATCTAATGTTTGTGTAGTATTATGTTCAGCAGACTGTGTTCTTCTATTGTTGTGATTTAGATGACGTTCAGAGCACATTTTATGCCCAATTCATGCAAAACTCCACGTAATCCCAAGGGGTTCACATACTTTTTCTTGCAACCGTAGTTGCTTAACAGTGTTTATAAAACCAAAAACATTGCATCTTATCAGTACTTAGATAAAGTGGCTACATTTGTTTTCCTCTTCCAGGCTTGTTTTCTTTATTTTTCATCAGGTAATCCTGAAAATAATACATTTTCTGTTCTAGGGTGACAGTGCTCACTCAAACCACTGTATCTGTGCAGGGAGCCATGGTTGTCAGATAGTCTGAACTACAAACATGTCTTCCCTTCTTATCTCAATACATGGGGGGGAAATTTACACAGATAAGATTTTTTATGCTTCCAGGACAATTCAAAGCACACAACTTTGATACTTTCTTTAAATTTCCAACACTGCATAGAGGCAGCATTGTGTAGAAGCTTCTGAAACTACAGGTTATGCAGGCCATAGACGGGTCGTTTATCGGCTGAATTTTCGTCCGCACGAAAAATCAGCCGATATTCACGCGGTTAGTGGGGCCAGCCCATCGGCCGTTTTTCGCGGATCTTCTCATTTAGTTTTATCGGTCATGCTGGAAAATCCGTGAAAAACTGACATTTTTCGTGGACATTGGTGGCGGCAACGGGGCCTACTGATTTTTTGTTTATCGGCCGAATTTTCTATGGCCTGCCTTAGTCAACTTGGCAGCATCCAAAATGAGTTTTGTATTACATTGTATCATTAATTCAGACACTATAAGACTCAACTGAAAATGTTATTTTCATTGGAGAGAGGCCCTTTAAGAGGATACCAAAATACTTAGCGACGAGTTTACCAAAATTCGATCTAGCATGTACTCTCTTCAAATACCCAATCAACTTCAGTAGAATTTCTATTTCAACAATTTTTTAAAACGTTATGCCGAACCTGACTGGGCATTTGTGTGTGGACTATCGTTAAAATATCTCTTTAATAATGGTGTAACTATGGCCCATGCAGCTGCTATGGGGCCCAAGGCCAGAAAGGCAAACCCACTAGAAAGGTGTTCTGATG